CTGTTGGTATCCGAAAATGTTATGTTAATTTTTTTATAAAACATGTTTTCATGCAAGCTAATTTCTACCAACACATGCAATGTAAATCTCTCACCTCTCCTAAAACACAGTATTTCAAATCATTGTCACTAAAAAAATTTGAATATCATTCTAAAATATACATAGGAATGGTATATTGTATCATCTTAACATCAACTATAAATATATGTAAATAAATCAATATATAGATATTGCACTTCTGAAAGTATAACTAAATCAATTGATGGTATCACTAATTAAAACTTGCTTTAAATATAAATTTAATAACATTATCATTATGACCACATTGCACCCTAACATATTACAATTTCTTAAGATATTAAATTATATATACCATCATCAAGATAAACTTTAACAAATAAATGTATTATGAAATGCTAATAAAGCTTGAGTTGAGGTAACACCCTGAAGTTTAATACAGTACACCAATATAGAACAAATAACTCTTGTTCACTGACATAAAATAGGATATTGTGCTTATAAATAGAAAAAGAAATATACTCGCTGGTTTGATTTTTTTGCAGAATGTTTCAAATTGTTTATAACCATATTACAGTATATTAATATTCATATATATAATCATACATACTTCCTTATTATTTCTTGATTAAAATACAAATTACTGTAAATACAAATTTGATGTTTAAGCAATTGAAATATAATCAAATTTTGTAGATGCACAATATAATCATGATATAATTGATTTATATAAACAGTAAATTTTATATTCAAAATATTTTATTCTAGAACTGGGTATCTTATAAATAAAAAAAATGTGCAATGAAGAGAATCATGTATTTACCAAATCATTTCTCTTATTCTATTTACTACAACTCTCATATATTACAAGATCTCAAATCTGTAGCATATAAAATAATGGCCTGCTCCACTAACCTCAAGTTTAGTATTATATTTTGATTCTCATTCGGCTAACTTCATATTTGCATATCGTCTTATAAATGAGGAATTAAAAACCTTCTACAGTAACATTAAAATGATGTATTATGTACACACAGAATATATAAACATAATATTAAAGAGTATTTTAAAACTATCTACACAATGACAAATTTATCATATAGAAGTGTAAATATAACAGTAATTATGTGTGTCTGGTAGGTGGATGATTTTGATTGTTCTACTGTTTTCTTTCAGATGAATGAATTTTCTCAACTGTGTTGGGGTCTTAATTCTGTTTTCTTCCTATCTGACAATATACAGGGTATTGTATTTTTACATATATGTTGCAGATTTGAGGATTTTTTTAAATTAAATTTATACACATGAATACATACTCACACTTTCTCAATATAAGCCTATACATACCATTTATTATATATACATACATACATACATACTATTGTGAGGTAGACGAATTGTAGGCCAATTATCTTCCGTAGTAGTTTTTTGCTGTATTATAAAACTGTGGGTCCAACAGAGGTCAAAGCCTGTCTCTTATACACATCTAGATGTGTATAAGAGACAGATATGATAGGTAAATGAGAGGAACAGCGCTGAATTTAAAGAACAAATGGACCGTGTTATAAACGTATCAGGTATGAACGAAAAAGTTCTTTGACAGTTGTGTAAAAAAGCATGTCCGGCAGGATTTTAACAATATCATGAATGAATGTATTTATGTGTATGTATAATATTGTGAATCTATAAGTTTGATTCCAATAAAAAAAAAAATTGAAATTTAGTGCCGATTTTTGGAAAATACTAAATTTGTTATTTTAAAACAGTATCCCAAGTTTAAATTATAATAATTAGTTCAAATAAAAATGTAATAAAAAGTTTTATAAGAACAATCATGACTATGTAAACTGATGTATAAAATTTGACTAAAGTTGTCACATAGAAATGGTGAAACTGATATCATTATTCTGGCTAATATAGCCAAATGTAATGTTAGTAAATTCATGTAGATTATGTATACAAAATGTACATCTGTATACATACAAGTCAAAATATGCTAAGGTGTTTATATGCAGTGATCTACAGTATATTTATTTTTAATAATTGACATGTTTGCCAGTTTAATCACAAGTTATTACAAAAGAACATAATAGTCTAGTCAATTTCTGACAAAATCAAAATGAACCTAGAACTAACTGCAACAGAAATAAATTTTTGGGGAAGTGTTCCTGAAATATACACATGATAACATACTAAAAGTCCGAGAAAAAAATCCAATCAGGGGAACATTGTTTATCTTTAAGATATTTAATGACTTAACATCCAATTCATTATTGTGCCACACCGCACAACTGCTGCATTGAAGCGTATAAAATCCTATTGTTGCTAACAAAAACTGGTTAAAATAAGATGGATGCCAGCATGCTAACGCAATTCAGCCAAACCAGACGCGTTGGCATAAGTTCTTGGTCAACCCACAGATTGACTGGACTATAGCAGAAGTCATTTCTTCCATTCCAAATTGAAAAAATTTCAAAAAAAGTTTTAAACTACTTATTCTTACACCACAACATCTCATCATTTCCCAGTAGTTCTCAAACCACTGGCCAATACTATTCTACTATTCTACTATGCTAACAAAAACTGGTTAAAATAAGATGGATGCCAGCATGCTAATGCAATTCAGCCAAACCAGGCGCGTTGGCACTAGTTCTAGGTCAACCCACAGATTGACTGGACTATAACAGAAGTCATTTCTTCCATTCCAAAATTGAAAAAATTTCAAAAAAAGTTTTAAACTACTTATTCTTACACCACAACATCTCATCATTTCCCAGTAGTTCTCAAACCACTGGCCAATACTATTCTTTGTGAATCACAAGGTCATGTGACATGGAGACCAAACATGCACATAAAAGAATGAAAACAAAAGAAAAAAAAAAGCATTCAAATGTTTGATTACTGTACTACTGTATGTTAGAAATTAAATTGTATTCAACACTTGTATGCTTGAGGCTGTTTGTCAAAAATATTTGTTTTGAGAACAACGGCTGACAAGAAAACCAAAATTAAGTGAAATGTTAAATTTGTATGGCATATATTTGACTTAATAGAGAAGCCAAGCAATGTCTGTCAAGAAACTAATGCACAAAATGTATCGTTACATATTCTTGTTCATAAAGTGATGTAATATAAAATTCATGAGGTTCTTGTTTAAGAAGATATAATCTTTCTTTGTCAAGGCCGATACACTATTATAGTTATAAGTGAGAGGATTCAAAAGTTCAAAAATTGACCTGTATGTTATACTTTTAAGTATAGTTATAATATCCTCGGTATTAACGTCTGTGACTAATGAACACTGTCGGTGACTAACTAGCAACTCATCTACGGCCTTAGCAGCCTTTGGGTGGGAGGATGGATGGTCGGTCACCCAGTAGCAATAAAAAAAAAATAGCACAACAAAGTGCGGATGAATTCCTCAGTCATTGGCCAAACCATGCTTAGTTTAAACAGTAGGATTAGTTTGCCTTTAGGGTTAGATTAAGTATAGTACTTTCTCTGTCTGTTTTGTTATGTTTATGTTAAGCGCATAGAGGTCTCCATAATAAGCGCTCTATAAGTCAACCATTATTATATTATTATCTATAGCATTTGAGACCGATCGGTATAAAGCACTATATAAATCTAACTACACTAAAACTACATTACATACATGAGGATACCTATGTATGTGTATATACTGTGTGTAATACAATATAAAATATATATATATATATAAATCAAAGATGCTGCATAGACAAACAATATGTAAAATCAAAGAAAAAAAGTTGATTTGCTGCATAATTGCAACCGGTATCTCTGATTTTTATTAATGTAATATGTGAGTAATCCATTTTGGTGGACCCAACATGTAGCGTACTATACATCTTTATAAAAAAACGCAAATAAAATGTATGGATATGTAAATGTATGGCATGTATACATTCTATTTATTTAAACAACAATAAATACTTTATTTCAACATAAAATTAATACAGTAGATCCCCAATCAAAGGGACAACTTCAGGACTTGAAAAAAATGTCCCCTCAATAGGGGTGTCCCCTCAATAGGGGTGTCCTTGGGACCAATCAGTGTTATGCCAATCATAGTGTTACAGGAGCGTCGCCAGGAATTCCCAGATGAGGGGTCAAGTGGATCATGCCCGCCCATCACCCCCCCCCCCCGCTAGCAACGCAAATGTAGCGTTATAAGAATACTACAAATCTAATGTATCCGATGTTCGCAATACAGAGCTGTGTGCGTGTACTCAACAAGATGGCTGCCGTTATCCAGCAAATCAAAATACACCCAAGCATCGTTTTCAATGGTGCCCTCAATTTACAAGTTTTTAGTACCATTAATAGTTACCCATATATTGAGGCTTAAGCATTGCGATAATTTGGTATAGTGTACACGATTTCAATTTTCATTCTTCAGTACTGTACTTTATTTCTTAATTAGACTCTCTACTTGGCCTTATTTTGGCTAGGCTATTGTAATAATTATAATATAATTAAAAATAATGATTAATGCGTTTTCCTACAGCAGCCTTCTTGTTCAGTACACATACTGTACACAACTCTGCAATGCTTCGTCGCCTAGTCAGCACTCTAGTTGTTCAATAGCTCTACAATTCCAATACAAACAAGTAGGCCTAAGTATCGGTTAGGTTCAAATCACATGTTGGATTGTTGTGGATTTATTTTGATTCATATTTCATTGTATTAATAAAAGCGCAACATAATAAAATAATAAATGGGAAGAGTCAGTAGTTACTGGTCTAGCCAATTCTGATGATGACAAAAAGGACTTCAAAAGTCGAAGTGATACTGCAAGGTATCTGTTAATGAAAAATATTACAACCAAGTTTTGTATTACTTAATATCTAATACAGTACTGAAAAATGGCAATCCATAACAAATACAAATATAATAAAACATAATCAGTGCTAACAATTTTAAAAATTTGGTTGCGTGTTTAAAATTATTGCACAAAAAAACACATTAGGAACAGATGGATAAATAATAACAGTGCTCAAATAGTAGCAAGATGTTATAATCATATCAAGCGCAGCCCTTCAACGAAATGAAAACATTTACTGTATACCGCAATACCATAAGGCAAAATAAACAAACACAACATGCTAAATGATATGCAGGCTAAATCCTGGTAGAGCTACAAGTTAGCAGAAACCTGAAATAAAAACTTTAGGTATCTAGAGTAGGACAAATTATTCCAGGCAAGCCCATCCTTTATCAACTGTGAACCTTTTATGTACAGTACTTAACTGTTTGTACACAATAGAATACCCGACGTGCAAAACAATATTCCGTATTTTGACAACTTGATTCATTTTTATATTTTTTTATATTCACCAAAACAACACACTAGAAACCGTTTTAGGAAAGTGTTTACATAATACTGTAGATAACATTTAATATTAAGTTGGAGTGGATGACAAAACGTAAGGCTGTGTGAGGAATTTTTTTATTAAGGGTGACACATAGCTGCAGTAAGAAATAAAATAATTGGAAAAGACAACACTTTTGTATGTCAGCATAAACATAATAGGTTTATTGCTAACACCTCAATGTGATTCCTCCAGCTCAGTAATGATGTCAAGTCCCTGCAATCTAATTCTAAGTTATGTATTAAGTTCATCCAGCTGAGGGATGCTATTTTGATTAATAGAAATTTTTTGTAGAAGTATTGGATTAGCAACTGATAGCAATTGAGTCATGAGGATTTCAATCTTACTCTACAGCAAGAATCACAATCCAATACCCTGTTAAGTCAGAGCAGGTTAGCAGAACGATATCTATCTCGTTTCTAAATCAGAATGTAAATCTGAGAATTGTAGCATCCGCATAGATTATTACACTGTTGATAATTATTATTAGGATTTTCCAACAAGAATATTGAATATGACTGTCCACAGTCCTTTCTTAAAAATCAGTACATTTTGTAGTGAATGTGCTCTTCAAATATAAAAAGAATATAAAACTACAGTAGAACTCCTGTTAAAGAGACACCATTGGGACCAAAAAAGTGTCCCCTAAAGAGGGGTTGGCTGTAGATATACTTATGTTTGTTTCATGGTCGAAAAAGTGTCCCCTTAATGGGGTGCCCCAAATGAGGGGTTTTTATTCTTTTTTTTTTATAATTTGAAGTTGTATCTGAATTTTAAGTTTTTTACTATGTAATCTGTTGTATGTTACATGGGTCTGCGAACACATTTGTGTTGGCACATTGTTGCTGATGTAATCCCTGGACTGTTTAATAAATTAAATAATACCCACTTTACCACTCATTATAAGAATTGTATATCAAAATATTGTTAAAGCGCCTTTTTGGTTAACTATCGTTCTATTTCAGTCTCAAGAAATAATACAGATATGAACCACATCAAATCAACTGATCTTATATTATCTGTAGTTATGTGTGTGTGTGTGCGTGTGGGTATTATTAATGAAGGTGAATGTGTGTACTTTATCATCTTACATTACAGTACAATTGCCTTTCAATTTCTCACGACGCTTCTGTGACTTGGTTTTTTTGGTTTCTAAGTGTAAGCTCATAGTCCGTTTTTTTTCCAACTGAAGTAAATTCTGGAAGAGTTCCTTGACATTATAATTTGTCTTGGCTGAAGTTTCTAAAAATGAACAATTCCAAGAACGTGCTAGCATTGAGCCCTCATTTACTGTAACCATTCTTTTAGGGTCATCACATTTATTACCCACCAACATTATGGGAATTCCATCAAGATCATTTCCTTTGATTTCTGTAATTGTGCTATATATTGGTTTAAGTTCCTCTAACGATTGCCTATTTGTGATAGAATACACAAGAATAAAAGCATGTCCTTTTGAAATTGATAACCTCTGCATGGCAGGAAACTGGTGGGATCCAGTTGTATCAGTTATTTGTAAGGTACACACATTTTTGTTGCAGCTGATAACTTGACGATAAGTATCTTCAATAGTGGGAATGTAGCTTTCTCGGAAAGTGCCTTTAACAAACCTTAGTACAAGAGAGCTCTTGCCAACACCACCAGCTCCAAAAACTGCAACTCTGTAGTCATTACTTTGTTCAGGCATTATTCTTAGACGTATACTTCGATCACGGACCAACTGAAAAAGTGCAAAAACATTAATCACTTTTGAATCATGCAACAGTAATGAAGTCACAATCAATTGCATAACAGGGCCTGGCACACTAGAACTAGACTGTGTAATTTAATGTTAGTCAATCAGAAATGACCAATGATAATGTAAATTTTTATCCCAGAGTGCAAATGATCCAAAACTGATAAAAATTTTATTGAAAATTTAGGATTTCTCTAATTAATCGAAACAACACTTCAAATAGAAGATACATACCCACATTTTACTATACTGTATTTAAAAGAACTATTTTTCAAATATTTAAGGGTAAACTGGGTCAAATCTTACTTTTCATATTTTTATTGTTAATCAATTTTTTAATCTTAATTTTCTAAGGAATATTAATGTATTGTAAATCACATGCAATTCAGTTTTAATTTTACTGCTATTTGTGATTAAAACAAAATGAAATGAAATCCGCTTTTTCCCCATTTTTTGAAATATTCAATAATCTGCATCTCATTATTATGCACATGTTTGTCAACTGTAGTACCACCCCCCCCCCACCTCCCGGACCCAGGCCTAGCGGTGATTTAGCCAGGGATGTAATTTCCAAAATGGTTACATGCATGTGAAAAACCTCCTGGCAATGCGGGGCATCGTTTTTAACGTACATCCCCGGCTAAGTCCTCACCACTTACCGCCGTAATCCCGGTAAAATGCCCCGCTAATAAATGATTGGATAAGACCTACTTGAAGGTCTAGCCTACTGTAGGTCTGAATCGGAGAAGCACGTGAGAGCTAGGCAGGAGCTAGACCAAGGAGATGAGATTGCTTGATTGAAGCAATACGCATGTGTATCACTAAGCAGATTTCCACGGAAGTTTAGATAAGTGGGAAAAAATAAAGGAGTGTATGACAGATTGATCATAGAAAAAGAAAATAACTGATTGATTGATTTAACAGTTTGATAGACTTTAATTATTCAATATTAAAACAAAAATTAGGCCTAAATAAGAAAATGAATACATGTTTTAATAGAAACAGATTTCCTTGCCTTAGCTCATGTACTGGCATATTTTTGACGCAAATTAGGTGAAATTCACGCTTCACAAATTTTCACACAACACACTCATCACATGCGCCGCCACCTCGGTCCTCGGTGTTGTGTGGTTAGAGGTTCAAATTTTATTATGTAATTTATACTGTGATCTATAAAAAATGAAACCATGGTGGTAGGCCTAAAGTACAGTAGGCGAATTTTTAATTTAAACACACAGTGCTGACTGCCCGAAACCACTACCCAAAACCGAGGCTACTCTAACGAGTAAAATTCCTGGCCCTTCCGAGGCCTGTTACATCTACGGGTAAATTTAGGTACGTCCCGGCACTACGGGGACACAACTATGTGTACATCTCCGGCTCAGTCCCGGCTAGTGCCCCGCTATGGCCTGGGTCCGGGGGACCAGGATACAATTGACAAGTGCATTACCGTTGAAGAGAAGTTTAACAAATTTATAAAATTTGAGAACTGATTTAGCACATCCAAATAAAGGTAGGCCTATTATCCAGGAAATTCATTCTTAAATAAAATAAAATTGGTATTTACTGTGTATACACGAAGTAGTCACGAAAATATGGATTACAATAGTTTTGCCCATATTACTAAGTAACTTCTTATGGACCAAATACCACACATTTTTATATTATATAAAGCACATGTATATCAAAAGACTGTCGGCTATTCAGGCAAAAACATAGTTACTGAGAGCTAGTAAGTAGAGACCAGGGGTTTAGGAAAAAAAAAAAAAGAAATAGGCAGTCCAAACGGGAGACGAAGAACTTATCGCGTAGCGACAGCCGAGGGGTGTGTAGTCCTGAGCGGGGGTGGGTTTGGAAGGGGTGTCCCACTCTCTTAGTCTCTACTTAAGAAAAATTTAGAAAATTATGACCTTTAGAATGCATTAACGGTTTAGCCTATACCTTTTTGGGAATCCCCACCAAATGTCGGTATGAGAACTACGTAATTTTAATCAATAAACATTGTTATTAAACGTATGATGCTTTAGTTTAACATCCGATAAAAGAATATAAACAATTTGCTAAAGGTAGACCAAGCCCAACTAGGCTATGATGAGCTGAGTAGGCCATGTCGTCATGGCCGTCATAAATAATTGTTGGCCATCCAAAAGATGGCCAGATGGCTTGCTGGCTATTAGGCCTTGTGAGAGACCGACATTAACAAAACAAAATACCCATTAAATTATTAAAATATTTCTGCTATAATATCTTTATTAGGTCAAATATATATTTACTCTATGATTTAGAATGATGTGTTCTGGTCAATATTGAATGTGATATCTGCTCCTCACATTCATCTGTCCATCACTCACGCACGTCCCATTTTTATAAACTGTTTGATACCACTCCAAGATATGTATGTTTGTTCTCTTTGTTTTGCTAAAAATCCTAATATATCAATGATTATAAATTTACAGTAATTAACATTGTTGATTAGCACAGTAGTAGTGATAATAATTTTAATTAAACAAGCATTTATTATGCACTGGTATCAGTTAACGAAGATGCATATGGCGACTTGACAAAACACTATTAGTATATGAAAATTATGGGCATGGATAAAAATGGCAGTAATTAATGCCAGAACCATGTGCCTGCACCTTCATACGACTGGGATCCTAGCAAGTGCTGTCACTGCTAGGGCCCGGGTTGATGCCAAGTGAACACAAATTTAAATTGTATTCAAATTTATGTCTGAGAGTGCCATTTCTGTTCCGACCATCAGTAATCATTTCTAATATTCAGTCCCAACCATGGTTTTTGAGCGCAATATAATCGATGAGTCTATTGATGAAGTAGGCCTAAACACTGAAGGTTAAAGCCAAAAAAATAAATTATGTGTCATCTAGAAATTGATAACTCAACAATTTTACAAATCTAAGTTTCAAATGATGACAACAGAAAGAAAAAATAAAGCTGGAGTAATTTGGGCATTCTCAAAATTCTAATGACTACCTTCAGCCTAATATTAAACTAATATTTTCTTAACATTTGGCTTTACATTTGTTACATCATCTGTTGCATGTGAATATCAACCAGGTGGAAACGTTAGAGGCCCTGCCCATGTCATCTTGAGCACCATCCCACTCTCAACATTAAATATTCCTCAAGCATTGACTATTACAGTATGTCTACTGGTGTGGGAGCTGTGGTGACTACATTACTGCAGCAAAGCTGTACCTCAGAGTGTCTGACGAAGTAGCCCTAGTGGGCCAAACCTCCCAGGAGCCTAGTAAAAATGGGCTATTTTATTTAGATGTTTTTAGATGTTAAATATTTTAGAACAAACAACCGTTCAGCATTGTTATGTTACGGAACTTAAGGCAACGGTTGGCCTGTCCCTGTGCATGTTTAATGTTGATGATTTTACATGTGGTTGGAATAAATCATAGTTTACTGCTCCCCCCCCCCCCCGGAGTTATAACTCTATAGCCCTCTGAATCTAAAGACGTATATTTTAATAAACTCATCAAACGAACAAACAGAATATACTATTTATTAATTATAACTGATCAAACTGTGGTATCTTCGTTCAATACGAAAACTACAGCTATCTTGAGGTCGAGCATTGCGCGCAGACATAAGCAGAACTTGAGCATTGCATAAGACCATATGGTCCGTGGATAAACAAGTACTGTACAGGCCTGTTTAGAACCGTCATTTTCAATCGGGGTATATTTTTTTCTATAAACGGTTGATGACTTTTCACTAAAATATTCACTGGGTAAAGAAACTTAGCATTGAACCAGGAGTTGACATACTGTAGCACAGGCGGCGTACAAAGAGATCAGCGGTTGGGCTTGCAGGCATAGGGTACTTCCCATTTGGAGGGGAGGGGGTGTTTCGAAAATGCGGAACTACAAAAGATCAGTGGCCCAAAAATGGGGATGAAGACTTCCGAAAAAGGCGCTGGGGGCCAAGGGTCTGCAAAGGGCAACCTGTGGGGGTGTGGGGGATGAAGCCACAGCCTCTACAGTGTTTGTAGCGTTTTGTGAATGTATTTTAATGTCTTTTTCGGCACAATTGATTTTTAAATTTTGTACCATTTGACAAAATAAGCGTAATATATTGTAAAACAAGATAATACTTTGTTCGTCTGTAACATAATTTCTTATTACACATTTTTTCATTTTAATTATATTACATAAAACAAATTATTAAATAAAGCTTAAATCATTCAATCAAAAGAAGAACAAAGAAATGTGTGTACTCTTACTGTTGCATGTGGTATTATTGAAAAGATTACACAGAATTATGAAAAGTAATTAAAAAATTAATGTCGGTATCATTTGATGTATTTTAAAATCATAACATTTAAAATCCATTAATTCACATATTAGGCTGTTGCTTTGAATGTATTTCCCCAGTACTGCATGCTATGTTCTGTACTGTTCGGAAGAATGCTGTTAAAGGATTTTTTTTGTTTGCTCAGAGCTTGAGGCAAACGTCAATGAAATTTGTTAATTCTAATGATCTTCCCCTTTTTCCATATTTTTCCCAAGTTTTTAAATATTCAAAAGCACTTTTTATCTGAGCATTAACCAAGATTTTCATCAAAGTTTAAAAATAATAAAAAGACCGTGATAACGTTTCTAGTGTTTATTGCACATATTTTTCCTGTGTAGATACCAGAGTACGTTTAATGTTGCAACCCACTGGCACAAAAAGTTTTATGCAGTCCGCTTAATAGTGCAAATCATCAGGGGGGGGGGGGGTGGGGGGCTGGGGGGGGGGGCGCTTAACAATAGTTGTTAAACTGCAAACCTGCCAAGCCAGTCACTCGTCGCAAATCGTGTTTCAGAGATAATGATCAAAACATGCTGGAATGTCAAGATTTTTTAAATCTGTATTATTGCACTAAACTAACCTTTATATATGTTAATGTCTGCCTGAGAATCGCCCGAAATCATGAACTTTGAAGGCTGATTTCTCAAATATTATTCTTA